GAGCTGTTCTGGCCTGTCCGGGGCAAGAAGGCCAAGAGACAGGAGTCTGTGCACACACAGCGCCACCCAGGAGCTGGCCGGGGACCTGGAAGGCAGAGTTGGGCCCTCTGACCTCCCCATTAAGCAGAGGCCCCTGGACAAGTGGGCCAGGCGCCCTCATTCACCCCTAGAGCTGGGGCAGAACTGTACTGAGCAGTCAACTCTTGAGCCCAAGAGGCCGAGTGGTCTTCGCTGTGGTTTCCGGCCCTGGGCGCTTGCCCTGCAGCACAGTCACAGGACCTGGTCCAGACAGTGTCACCTGGCTGTGCGGGCACCGACCCTGGACGCGGTGAGACAGGCTGGCTTACTGCGACTCCTGCCCCATGGCCATTGGTTTTCCCTGCGACAGGACAGGCCCATGCCCAGGAGTCCAGCTCCAGTCCTCAGAGGACTTGGTGTTCTGAAAGCTTAGGGAGTTCTGGTGGCCTAGTGCTAAGAAGCTGTGCTGCAATCCCACAGGCATGATGAGGCTTGAACCCCCTCCCCGTTCTCCATGGGCAGTCCCCTCCTGGGCAATTCACTGCCTCTGGAGGGTCAGTTCCAACTCAGTGGCACACAAGACTGGACGGCAGGGTTGGACACATTATCAGAGGGGCCGGCTGCTGGAGGTCCACATGCTTGGACCCCATCTCCACCTGGGTCCCTGAGGCTGTAACTTTATGGAACAGCTGCTGGATGGGAGTGTTTTGGTCAGCCATGTACACACAGGTGCCTTTAAATCTGAGAGCAAACGCAGCACCTTCCAGAGATGGACATCTCAGAAATGAATCACACACTGGGCTCTAACATAGCAGTGACTCAAGTCATTGAGTGCACAGGCCCAGAAATGCTGTGAAGTTCAGCGAGGAAACGCGGGCTGGGGCTCCCCAGAGCTGAGGTCAAGGGCAGTGGGGAGATAGGCCTAGGGAAACAATGCTTGGGGTCCTTCAGGAACATAGAGGTGGAGGGACTGGATGGGGAGGGCCACTCAGCCCAGAAAGAGGGGATCCCTGATGTGCGTCTTCCTCCATACCCGCCCCTCTTGCCGGTCAGGATCTGGACTGCTTGGTGACCAGGTGACACCACTGGGACAGGCTCTGGTTTTCACACAAACCCCCAAACTCTCTGCTGTAAATTGGAACTGACCACTAACTGACCCTCAAGCAAGTTTTCAGAGGCTGTAAATCACAGCGGAAGACTGCATTCCTTCTTTCTCCCTTAGATTCGAACAACCTGCCTTTTTAGGTTGGCAGTGCAACTCTCTACCCAGTACGCCACCAGACTTGTGTTAGCTGTGACCTCCCCTCTCCACAACCTTCACCTCCAACCAGGAAGTCATCACACAGAAAAGAAAGAGGGGCGAGGGGGGCCCACCAAGAGTGCTGGTGCCACGTGCCAACCTCCACCCAGAGTGGCCCAAGCTGTTGCTAAAAGGGAGCTGCGGGGTCTCCGCCCCCCACCCCCGCACAGAGGGGAAAAGGGGGCCGGGAAAGTATGGAGTCCCCTCCCAGGCTGAGGCTGAGTGCGTCCAGAGAAGGCTTACCAACCCAACAGAACCAACTGTACAAAAATCACTTTATTAGTAGTTCATCCCTCCAGGTTACCCTCGGCTCGTGCTCTGGTCACCCGGTCCCAGTGCTGCCCAGGTTCACAGGTGGTGAGTGGTGACAGGGTCAGCAAATAGCAATGTGTCCCGTCACTAGAGGCATGATGAACGCTGCAGAGGGCAGTGAGGTGCCTGGGGACGCCAGCGCAGCCAGGACGGTGGCTTCTGGGGATGGAAGACCTCTTCAGGGAGGGCCAGCCGTGTCCCGACCTGACCAGAGAGGATGTTCTTCTCTGGAATGACCGGTCACTCCTTCCCAACGTGTGCCTCCTAGTCCCCGCACTTGTGGCTGGAAGTTAGAAGCTGTCTTGTTCCAGAAGTCCCTGCGTGAGCGTGGCCTCAGAGCTCCCAGAGTCCTCCTTGGCTGCAGGGGGGGGAGGTGGAGGGTGGACACAGACAGGAGGTGGGGCAGGCTCAGTTCTGAAGAAAAGGTCACCAGGGGCAGCCTGGGGACACCTGCTGCGGGCCGCTGGCCTCACTGCATGCCGAACCACTGCTCCTGGTCGGCCCACTGGGCCTCACTGTCGCTGCCCTCCAGGTCCCCCTCTTCCCCACTCCCCTCCATGTCGTCCACGTCCTCCTCCTGAGCTGCGTCCGCCGGGCTCTCCTCCTTCTCCATCTTCTGCATCCCCTCTAGAGACTTCTGGTCATTGGGGTCCAAACTAGGGGACAACAAAACAAAGGAGAGGCCTCAATCTCTGCCTGGCTTCCTGCTGGCAACGCGTCACCTCCCTGGATGGCAGTGAGATGACCAGTCACAGAGAAGCTGCTAAAGCCTGGCCTCTCTGAACAGCTCCGGACTCCACGGGCTGCAATGAGGGGTCCACCACCAGAAGTGAGAAGGCGTCTGTGCCTCCTGCTGAGGTCACGGGTCACCATCAACCTCCCTACCCCACGCCCGCCCAGCCCTTGGCAGCACGCTACCTGCTGACAGGTGGCAGCAGCACACAAACATTCACAGGAAAACGCATGTCATTCCTGAGCTACGTATTGTCTGGGAGCTCAACAGCCCATGTCGTGGTCTGAATGTGTCAAGTCAATCAAAATGATCATGCTCTCACCTGCCCAGACAGTAGCCTCCTAGGCCAGCCTCCAAGGCTAGTCCTGCCCCAGACACTGAGGCCAAGTAGCCCAGAGTAGCCTCAATCCCAAAGCCCTGCAGAATCCTGCCTCCTGCTTTGTGACCATCTCCAGGCCAACATGTGTCAAGTCCCAGCCAATCTCATTTCTAATTAAACTCATTTATTTCCTCTCTGGCTTCTGGGCGACCCTAGAGGACAGAACGAAACTGCTGTGGGGTGTCCGAGGCTACCGTCTTTCTGGGGGTATGTATACTGCCTCATGTTTCTTGCAGGAAGTGGCTGGTGGGATGAACTGTCAACCTTTTATGGTCTGCAGCCCAGCACTTAACTACGGCAGCTCCTCTAAGCCCTTTGTGAAAACCCAGTCTTCTGTCTGCAGGCTGTGAGGACAGCAGTTAGCCTGGGGGTGACCGAGGTGCCAGGCACAGGACTGCCACGTCACACAGCGTCAGGCTTGGTTCCACGCGGCCTTCACCGGCACCTCACACACACGGGCAACCCTCAAAGAAACCACTTCTGTGTTAACAGTAATACAGCACTATTTATTAAGTATTTACTAAGAATTAGGCACAGTGCTGAGAACTTACAGGATGTCATCATTTAGTCCTAACTGAATCCACAAGTACCTTCCAAGGAGGTAGGTATAGGTGAGAACGTGTTAGAAACTTGCTCAAGAGAACAATAAACAGATAAAGGTGGTACTCCCCATCACAAGTCAAGCTCTCAATGGCTTCAGTAGTAGAAACACGAGGAGCACTTCCAACTTTGATTTTAAAAGCAGTGGAGAAAATCTATCCTACTGTGACCCCCCCCATAAACATGTGTCCGTGTGGGCAAAGTGGAGGCTGCCTGGCACAACCACATAAGCTACGGCTGTGACGGAGGCTGGCTGAGCCCTGATGTGCTGCTCCAAACTCTGTGAGCAGTGCTGAATTCACAGTCTTCCTCTCACGCTCTGACCACTCTGTTGTGCACTGGGGTGCAGGCAGGCTGTGTGCTGAGAACTCTGGCCAGGAGCCCTCCTCGGGACCGCCCCCCAGGGGCCGCGTGCCTACCTGAGCGCTATACTATACTGGTCCATGGCCTCCTGGTACTCATTGACGGCGACCAGGAAGTCGCCTAGGATGCGATGCAGCACGCAGTCGCTCTGGTTAGCCAGGGCGTTCCTCAGCAGGGCTATCCCATCTTCGTACTTCTGCTCTCTGCCTGAAAAGACAACCACCCGTGGCTGTGTCCCTCCAGCAGCATTCTGACATGAGATGCCCAGCTCAGCCCTCACGGTGGGGATGTGGTGGGAAGCAGGATGGTGGTGTACAAGGGGACCAGGGGCATCTGAGCCCATCAGGAGAGGTGAGGCTTGGTTTCTCACTTCTTAGTGCTTCCTAACAATGGACGTGAGAGAACAGCTCCAACCCAGCAAGGGATCACCAATGCGGGATGAAGACAATGATGGGAGTCAAATGAGGACCCCACCCCACCCAGGGCTTCCCAGGCTGTCAATGTTCACAGAAGCTGACTGACCCTTTATTCTCCCAAGGGGCAAGCAGGTGGATTCAACCACCAGCCGAATGCTTAAGCACAGAACCCCTCCCCAACTGGTGAAATCCCGTTAGCCTGATCTCATTCAGAACAGGAGAACCAACCCAAGTGTGCTGAACAGGTACCAACCAGTTTTCTTGTGCTGGGAGCCAGTGCCTGGAGGGGGTGCTGGGCCACACCAGCTGATCCACCCAGCGGAGCTGCCAGGTCTATAGCAGGGTGTGGGGAGCCATCAGGGCTGGGCTACGCCCGAGGCCCCCCGAGAAGGGGTGATGTACTCACTGAGCAGCTCCGCCTTCTTCACCACCGCTTTGATGTAGTCGGGCCGCTGGCTGAGCGCTTTGTCTAACAGGCTTTTGGCTTTCTCCTGAGTGACTGGGTCCTCGAGACAGACCGTGGCTAAAAGGGTGAGGGTCTGTGCGTTGGCGCCCAGGGTCTTGTAAACATTGTTAGCCATGACCATCGCTTCCCGAATGCTGTTGGAGGCTAAGTAGCACTCGATGAGACCTGGGAAGAAAGGCGGCAGGGACGCTTAAGCACATTGCCATTCCAAGTCACGCTTCCACGCTGACAGCTCTCCACAGAGCAAGCCTTCAAGTCTGCAGACAAAGGCAGGCAGGGGAGAGCGGGGAGTTCAGGCGGGCGGCTATGCTGTTGGAATTGCAAAGAGGTTCCTGTCCGCAGTGCACTCGATGGATGTGGAACCAGCCTGCAGCACACAAGGGACCTTCAGTGAAGGACAGGCGGTGCTCAGGACACGACGCTTTGAGTGATCAAGGGGCAAACAAGCCCACTCAGGTCCCTCAGCACGCAGCCATGTTGACCAGCCACGCTATGCCCTTGTCCCCAGCCACAGGGGAAAGGCACGTCTAGCTCTACAAACAGGAAGGACCCTTCAGCAGGCCATCCTAGCAGACTTTCTTATCTCAAACACAGATGCCGTTTTCAACCTCAGCCCCCCAGCCCGACGGAAAGCACTAGAGTGAGGGATCAGACACAGAGACTCTTGGCCCCACGGCAAGCTCTGTGGAGTCCCGGCAAGCCTTGGATGTCTGTGTCAAGCTGAGGAAGATGCACAGACAGCTTCCTGGCACCAAGTGCTCCTCAAAACAGGGAGACAGCTCAAAGCCCAAGCCCACACAGGCCCCAGCAGATTTTCCGCACACTCCTCCAACCTCGCCGAATTTATAACATCCACGCACTCCCCACCACACACCAGTTATTTAACCAGAAAGCACCTCACTGGGAGGGGGAAAGTGCTGGAGTCGGAATGAAATGGTTTGCTTCATGGAGTACTTTCACTGCCCTGCTAAAACCCATGATGGCGTGTCCCAACTCAGAGCGACCCTGCAGGACAGAAAGAACAGCCTCCTGGCTTGGTGAGGTGGGGGATCTCTCCTGGACCCTGTCAGATGGATGGAAGGAATGCGCCTCGCTAACACAAGGCCTCTACTCCGCAACAGGCCTGGTCCAGCCCTCTGAAGGCCAGTCCTTGGGCAGGGCGACCTGAGAAGCCTCACCGGCCCTGAGGGACAGTCCCCTCCCCTAAAATGCCATCCTGACAGCCCCATGCTGTGGCAGTGGCCCTCTCCTGACAACACTGCTGGGCTCTGGGGAGGCAGGCTCGCTGCCGATGCTCCAGTTCCAGCATCAAGGATTTCATCTTAAAGCAAAGGCTGGTCTGCTGGGATTTAAGAACAAAGGCAATGGCACTTCCCCAAGAGCACAGCTCTCGGCTATGCACGCAGACGTGGTCCTACCCCGAGGCCTAAGCTTTAATCTCTCAAATCTGAACCCAATCCTAGGCTCCTGAATCTATTTTTAGATTCCTCTGGAGGAACTGCATCATGCAAGCTCTATTTTAAAGCATGGCTGAGTCACCACCATTGCTGAGGCTGGCACAGGCTCCCTGAACCCCGAGGGTCAGTTCACATGAGCTTCAACCATTACAGAGCACAAGGGGTGACACTGACTGTGCCTGTTTTGGAGGTCACAAGCAAAGGACTGATTCCCACACCACCAGGGCTACGTGAACATGGGAGGCTCTGAAGGACACCACCAGAGATCCATACACCCCACCAAAACCACAGAGGGTGAGGTGGTCTGAAGGTCCCCTGGAGGGACAGCTGGCTACCCTGGGTCTTCAGTAGCTGCTAGCGGCATGATGAGCCATCAGGACAGTTACCCCAGACGAGACGTGCAGGCCCACCCTGCCCTGCGTTCTGCTCTCACCTTCATAGCAATCTAAGCGGCAAGGGGCGAGCCGGATGGCCTCCCGGAAGTGGATTACTGCCTCCTGGACTCTGCCCATGTTCCGGAGCGCAGCACCTTTGAGCAGCAGAGCCTGCACACTATTGCTGTTGAGCTGAATGGCTTTGGCCCCTAAATAGAGGGCCCGGGAGTAGCGTTTGCTGTAGAAGCTGTGACAACTGGAGGGATAGAGTGAAACAGCCAAAGGTCACCTGAGAGAAGAACAGGAAACTTCAAGCAAAAGTCAAAGGGCCTTCCCCCTCCCCGAGGTGCACACACTACACAGGGTTACAGGGACCGTTCTCCAACAGCACGTGCTCACTCCACGCCTCTGCCTGACTTTGGGAACCTTCCAGCATCTGCAGCCTTCTGCACACTTGGCAGACTACGCGGGTACACGAGTGCACACGAGCAGGACGTGCTTTACTATCTGGGTGGGGGCTCGAACCTTCAGCAGTCAAAAGTCTGCCTGCTGTCTCCAGGACGACAGAGCTTCCCAAACTCCCAGGAAACTGGGGAGAGAGCAGCCAAGGGTCCAACATACCCAGAGACCACCCAGGGTTCTGCATGCTGATCGGAGATGTTGAAGAGCCGGCAGCCGAGGTTCTCCACGTCCTCCAGCCGTCCCTCTCGAGCCAGGAGGTAGCCGTACACGTCCATTCCTAGAAAGGCCAGTTGGGGAAGGGACTCTGAGCAAAGCAGCAGCAGTCAGATGTGCCTCCAGGAGAAATGCCCGGGCCACTCCTGAGGGTCTCAGCCTTTCCATCAGGGGCTCCTGAACCTGCATTTTCCATGTCTTATCAAAGCACCAAAAGGAAGGCAAACCTCATCCAGAAAAAGAAAAGAACAGCAGAAGGATCTACCTCCCAATCCGACAGTCTGTTATTTGTAGGAACTGCTTCATCCTGTGGCGTGACACAGCAGCTATCCTAACCGTTACCAGAAAAGGCCCAAAAAAGGCATCACGTGCATTCTCTGGTGCCAGAGCTCCAGATCCGGAGAAGCCGGACACCTGAGTGCTAGCACTGCCACTCAGCTGAGCTGGTCCCCTCTCTGGAGTCTAGTCCAAGGTCACGCCCTGGGGTCCCTCTCCTCAGGTTTTCAAGATCTCTACAAAGGGCCCCTCCTCACAGTGACCACCCACCTTGTCCACTTCTTGCTAGCCCTTCATGTTCCCCTTACGTCATGACGACGACACCACCCCTCCCGGCTCCTGGACACGTATCTGAGTGTTCTGATGCAGGGCTGCCAACTACTGTGGCCTAGAATTTCTAGAACACCCTTTTCATCAGATGGGAGCAGCCCGAAGAAGAGAAGCCCTGGCCAGCAGCAGACCACAAGCAAACAAGTCCCTCCTGGGCCTGTCTGCCCGCACTCCCTGCTCTGTCATGTTGGCTGAGGAGCCTGTCACGAGGCCCGTTTTCCTCATGTCCTTTTTTAGTCCTTCACAGACAGACCTCAGCCCCTCCGCACTGCTCCCCCAGCCAGGCCTCCAGCTTGGCCCTCAACTGCATTCTTCTTTCCGACCGGTGACTTTCTGGCTGTCGATTAGTATGGCTTCCTTTATCCTCATGTCCTTTTCTCACTATCTGGTTCACGTATTCCTTAATTACACAGACTACCCAGGAAGCCAAAGTCTCTAAAAGGCTATCCTGGCTCCGGGGCTCAAGAGTCAGGGACACAACATCAATCCTAAAGAAAGGAGCCCAGCTGCTGGAGTGCATCCTCGACTCTCACAGGGAAGTGACCAGCAGCGGTTCTCCCCCACCTGCCCGCCCCGGCTCAGCGTCAGGAGCCACGCTCACCTTTGATCAGGTAGGGGTCCAGCATCTGGGCCTGCTCAAACTTGAGAACAGAGTTCTTGTTGTCCCCAGCTCGGAAGTACAGGTCGGCTAAGCTCCCCAGCAGCTCCACGTTGTCACGTAGCAAGGACTTTTTCTCCAGGGAACTTGAAGACATTAAACAGGGAACCTCAGCATCTAATCTGGGTGATGGACGGTATTTGTCACGAAAAAACTTTACACTACGGAACAACAACTTTCTGGATGCAGTTTCTCAGAGAAAAACACACACTAACGATGTTCCTGTCACATCTGCAAGTGACAGGTGCCCATCAGTGAACTCTGGGACATCTCAGCCTCTTGCCCTTGACAAGGAAAACCCCAGTCCTAAGACAGCATCCACATCCAAACCAAACCCACTTGCCACTGGGCCAGGTGACCACTCAGTGACCCTGCAGGACAGAGCAGAATGCTGATGACCACGTCATCCTCTCACGGAGTACCTCGTGAGTTCTGAACTCTGGTTAGCATCCAAATGCTTTCACCACTGTGCTACCAGGCTTCCTGACAATGCAAGTCAGCTATTGAACTAAACTACCCTTCTGGGCCTGAGCATATGACCCACCAGGACGCCTGCTGTCCGGTCTCCCGGCCTCTGCAGGGACAGGGACGTGGACGGGGTTCCACACAGCGCTGCAGGACACTCGGGCGCTAACAGAGCCCAGGACTGCTGACAAGCATCTCCTTTTCCACTTTTCCTAACTTAGTGACCATCAGGCGAGGCGAGGCCTTGCGAACATTTCATTAGCTGGGGCTCTCACCAGATGGTGTTGATGGCTCTGGAGTTGTCCCCAGTGTGTACGAAGGCGTAGGCTTTGATCCACACCGAGAGCCAGTCCAGGTTAGGCACAGTCTGGATCACGTTCATTGTCATCGATGCCACCTCGGCACCTTTTACAGAAAGGGACAGCAAGCCTGGAGAGAGAACGGGAGAGAGGATGAGGCACCAAAGCTTTGTGCGCTAACAGCAGCAAGCTTTCCTCTGCCCAGGGGTCCCTTCCGCTCCCGAGCAAGATGGAAAGTTAACAACTCCTGGGCGCACGAGAGAACATGTGGCAAAGACAACTTCCTCAAGGTGAGGCGTGGGCAATGTTCTGGTGGTTATGACTTCCTCCAGCAAAGCAGCAGTGCCTCATGGATGGCCCAACCCCATGTGATGGCTGTGAGAGAGCCCTGCCGTCCGCAGCTGCGCACAAATCCTGTCCTCTTGCGCTGGCCTCCAGGCGGCAGTACAGAAAGCGCCCCAAATCAAGATGAGTGGGGAACCTCCCAACATGCATTTTTAGATAGCCAGTAAAAACAAACTTGTTGCTGTCAAGTCAATTCTGATGAAACAGCAACACTCTGGGTCAGAGAACTGCTCAGAAGGTTTCCAACACTGTACTCTTTATGGAAGTAGACAGGATAGGTCTGCACGGCCAAACCTGCAGTTAGAAGGTCTAGCCCTTACTTGCTGTTCCTTTGAGGATAGGTGGGACTATGCAAATGGACATGTTAGCGTATCCACAAGGTGACTGGCCAGTCTCAACAATCTACAAAGTGATTGGCTAGTCACACCAATAAACTGAAGAGCTCTAGCTGCAGACTGCATTCTTCCCTCAGCCAGAGACCTCCCCCAACATGCTGAAATGTAGGACACGCTTGGGGACAGTAGCAGCACTGCCTGAGGTGGAGAACTGGTGAGATTGGGGGGGGGCAATATTGGCAGGACTGAGAACTTGGGAACTGTTAGAACCATGAGGCTTGAGGCTGAGGTTCCTGTGTGCGTATCTTGGGAGCTGTCTTGACTGTAATTTTGTTGTTAATCTGAATGATAACCTTTTTACTTTCCCTATATGGTTCTGTGAGCTGTCACATGTAATTCTAGATCCAGTAAAGCAGTACGATTGGTGTTAAGATGTGTGGAAAGAAGCACGGGAGCATGGGACATGTCTGACCTCGTGGGACTTGGTTTTGTGTTACTAATGCTGTGGATGGGAACATTTCCCCCTGTGAAGTTGGTAAAGGTCAGATACAATGTTCCTCACAAGGCCTTTGGGTTTCTTTCCAGCGGTGAGCAGTATAAACCACAGTGCCATCAGGGCACTTCTGCCCTAGACACAAACCCACTGTGCACTGACAGCCAACCCCCTTTACCAAGGATGGCGTCCAGCGCAAGTGGGCACTGGCGCAGGACTTCCTTGTAGCTGGTGACGGACGGGCGCTCCTGGCCAGCCTTCCTGTACAGGTTTGCCAGCATCATGTTTATCTGCAACAAACAGAAACAAAGGGCAGTAAGACAAGTGCCTCCTGCCAAGAAAACCAGCACCACACAAAGGTCTGATTCCAGTCACCAATGCGCTTCCACTTTCAACTGGGAGATCGAATTACAGCTGAGTCTTCAAAGCACAGCCAATAAACACCTTGCTCTCCCTAGGTCTTCCCACAGAGAAAAAGCCAAGTTCTTCCCATCAAACCACAGGGCCCAGCAGCAAGTGGAGCTATGCTGCTCCTGTGGGAACCCACAGGGCCCTGACATGAAAGGTGGTACAGACTCTAACTGCCTTTAACCTTTCTCCAGCTCAGCACAGCAGATGAAATGCCCTACAAGTATATATTTTAAAGTCATTTACTATCGTAAGAGAGTGAGAAACTTTTTTTTAAAATTTACTTTATTTCATTATTTTTTGTGTGTACCGTCAAATCAGATCTGACTGGTACAGGAGGAGATTGTTCCTCCTTCTCCAGCAGAGCATCTGGTGGATTCGAACCGTGCATCTCTGAGACTGCAGTTGCAGCTTCTTGCCAATAGGCCGCCAGAGCTTGCCAAGAGTGCGAAACTCTTAACAGAGCCAGTGAGGAGGATCAAATGAATTTTCCCCAAAAAGGAAATGCCAGCTGCAAAAAGCAACAGACTGGCTTCCCTCTGACAAGCGTTCCATAGCTGGTCCTTGGCTTTCCAGGGCTCCAAGCTTGGACCCTCAGGTACTGTCTGACTCTGGCCAGCTGTTGCTACACAAACGCACTAGGCATTCATCTACCAAGGTGCCGCTGCCCCTCTGTGAAACCTCCCACCAAGAGGCAGACTTTACACCTTAACACAATTCACACAAAGCTTAGACCAGAAGCCCAGCAGCCACTCCCTTCAGGGGTCTCCAAGGCTGGAAGGCTTGGCAGAAGCTGCCCGTCTCATGTTTCTCCAGAAGGGCTAAGAGGTTTGAACCACGGACTTTCTGATTAACAGTCAAGTACTTTCACCACTGTGCCACCAGGGCCCTGTAATGTAATAAAACTCTAGTAAAATCATCCTTTCTAAGAAAGGCAACAGAAGTCTGAGGAAACATACATGTTTCAAAGAAGGCAGGGAGAGTTCTAGGGGAAAGATAAATGATTTTCTTCACAATGACTTCTCTGTACAAAAAGGAAAACAAAATTCCACTTTCAAACGGACTGTGAACATGACGGAGCATTTGCCAGACCGCAGCCTAAGGAGTCGTCAGCAGAGGGCAGAGGAGATGGGGGTCTGCTCCCAGCCCCTTGACCTGTCTGTGGCTTGGGGTGCATCTTCAAGTCCTGACATCGCAGCAAAGGATGGCTGTGAGCACAAAGCGCATTTGCTCCTGTTAAGGCCCGCAGGGTACGAGACAACATGGGACAGCATCACACCAACAGCAAAGGAATCACGCACAGGACACAACACGGCCTTCAAACTGGCCTCAGACTGCCAGCTGCAGGTCGTGCTGAAAATGCAGAGAAGGAGACTGCCAGCACTGTCTGGGGATCTGAATTAAAGGTTACGTTTAAGAACCCTTTCTTGACTGCTTGTTATTATAAACTGACTGATGGACCATTTTATCTCAACAAAAATCAAAATTCCCTTTAAGCTACTTGACTGTCATTTGGAAAGAATGAGTTCTGAGTGCTGTCGAGTGAGAAAGTCAATCTAAGGAAAAAACAGATCCATACTTGGGAATATCATAAAGCATGTCTCATCAGCTGGAAGCACAAACAGTGATCTTTCCCAAAACTGAGTGAGGAACTGTGTGTGGGTCTGTCTACTCCTAAGCCGAAGACGTACTGTGACGTGACGCTAACGCTGGAATTATCCTGAGTGTACGTGAGTGTGTGATGGTGGAGCTGTAGGTTAAGAGAGGCTCTTTTACACGCATTTCCGACTGTTTCCCTGTGCTTTACGCACACTGAGCAGCCAACTAACTCCCTAATGGATGAGAAAGGAACACTGTAAACATTATCAGGGGCCGTGGGAGGTACACATCTTTGCTGGCTCCTGGCCACGGCAGCTCCACAGAAGGAAGGGCCCGGAGGACTGCAAACGTGAGCTCCACCAGCCCTTCTGAGAAGGCGCAGTGGGGACGCCAGGCACCAAGGGACATGTTTTCCAAACTCCTGCAAGTTATTAAGGAGGATGTCACAGTGCACCGCCAGTAACATACGGAATAGGCACTGTTCAGTTTGTAACAGTGCTTCTTCTGAAAGAAGAGACTTGAGTATTGCAGCAGACATTCTTCATATACACGACGTACTCCAGGGTGAAGAGAAGGCCCCCACAGGCTAACACATGCATCCAAGCTTCTCACGTGACAGTCCCTAAAATGTTCTCCAAATTTGCTAACAGTAGCCACCACCACTGATAAGCTAGGGAAACACCCTAGTTTTAAAAACTCAAGGAAGGGAGCTTTTTGAATCACCAGAATAAAGAAGCATCAAACTGCAACGAAAAAAAAAAACCAACTCAAGGAAGGGCGAGCTCTGGTGGCCTAGTGGCAAGAAGATGCACTGCAATCCTAGAAGTACGCGGTTCGAATCCACCAGATGCTCTGCTGGAGAAGGAGGAACAATCTCCTCCTGTACCAGTCAGATCTGATTTGACGGTACACACTCACAAAATAAAAAAAATTAAAAAAAAAAACTCAAGGAAGAAAATCATTCCCCAGCATGAAGAGTATAAACATGCTTTCATCAAGTTCAACTGGTCATTTTAAAACTCAGCGACGCTTTGATGAAGGAGCACTGACTAAAACACACCAGGCCCTCACTGTATGGAGCCCTTTTAAGGCAGAAAGCTATGCACAGACACCTTCATTTTAAACGCCTTACTAGTAAATGGAGGTTATACAGAATAGTTTTTCCATTTACTGAGGAGTGCAGGTGACACAGAAGTATTTTACAGATACCAAATATTGATAAAAATTCATTCTTGGAGCAAGGAATTTCAGTTAAAGGTATTTTATTAAAATATCCTGCCTAATGAGGGAGCTCTGGTGGCCTAGTGGCAAGAAGCTGTGCTGCAATCCTGAAGGCTCATGGTTTGAATCCACCAGATACTCTGGAAAAGTAGGGGTAATCTCCTCCTGTGCTAACTGGATCCAATTCGACGATACACAACAAGAAAAAGAGAGAATATCCTGACTAATCAAGCTGGATTTAGAAGAGGCCATGGCAATAGAGACATTAGTGCAAATATCAGATGGATCTTAGCTGAAAGCAAAGAGTATCAGAGGAATGGCTATCTGGATTTATTGACTGTGCAAAGGCATCTGACTGTGTGGATCACAAAAAACTGTGGCTAACCGTAAGAATGGAAATCCCAGAACACTTGATTGCGCTCATGCCAGACCTATACTTGGAGAAAACACTGCATGGTTCAAAATTAGGAAAGGAGTGTGCCAGGGATGTGCCCTATCTCCATCTCTATACCCTTTTAATCTGTATGCAGAACAGATCAATAGGGAAGCTCTATGAGGAGGAACGTGGCATCAGGATTGGAGGAAGACTCATCAACAACCTGCTTTAGGTAGATGATACAACCTTGTGTGTCAAAACTGAAGAGGACATGAAGCGTTTGCTGCAGAAGGTGAAGGACTGTTGTCTTCAATAAGGATTGAAGCTTAACATCAAGAAGACAAAGATTTTCACCACTGGTCCAAATGGCAACACCATGAGAGATGGAGAAGACACTGAGGTCCACAATCAACACTTTTGGCACCAGCATTCAAGAAATCAAAAGACGAACTGCACTGGGGAAATCTGCTGTCAGGGACCACACCAGAGTGCTGCGAAGCAATAATGCCAGTCTAGAGACTAAGGTGCACCTTATCCATGCCACAGTCTTCACAATTACATGCTATGTATCTGAGAGCTTGACAATAACTAAGGATGAGAGAAGAACTGGTGCCTTTGAACTGTGGTGGAGAAGAGTACAGAACATACCACGGACTGCCAGGAGAACAAATAGGTCCATCTTGGAGAAGGTGAAACCAGGCTGCTTCTTGGAGGCAAGGATTTTGAAGCTCCATCTCATATACTTTGGGCATGTGGCCAGGAGGGACCGACCAGTCCTTGGAGAAAGACATGCTCTGAAGGATGGAGGGAGAGCGCAGGAGAGGAAGATCGCAGATGAGATGGGTTGATACAGTAACTGAGGAGATGGGAGTAGGTCTGTCGGAGTCAGTGAGACTGGCTCAGGACAGGGCAGGCTTCAGAACTGTTGTACATAGGGTTGTTATGAGTTACAGGTAACTCAATTGCACATAACAACAACAATCAAGCATTAATATGTCCTACACACAAGTAAGTACTAAGAAATCTTGTGGTCCTGATATTGGAAAACAAAATTCCTTGGCGTGAAGTCAGAATGGACGCAGAGCTGACCCTTGTGTGGGTTTCCGAGGCTCTCAGTCACACGGGAGGAGACGGCCAAGCTCTGTCCTGCGGCTGCTGGTGGACTGAGCTACCTGTGAGCGACCACCTTTGGGTTAGCGACACAGACACCAAAGCTCCCGGAGGAAACTAGGGAGGGAGAAGAAATAAGAAAACCACGCCCCTCACCAAATGGGGGGCACACGTGGAATCGGGGGAGAAAGGTTCTAAAGAAGTTCCCACTGGAAAGTGTGGGTTTTTAAAAATAAACTTGTTCTTGTGACTCAACTAAAATTTACAGTGTAGACAGGTTCTGATTACAAAAGTGTTCTGCAAATCATTTCCTAGAACAAGAAATACCAAAGAAAAACCAGCACACATCAAATTCTGCAGCTACTATTTTCACAGCCTTGAAACAGACATCTGTTTATCCCCCCAATCTCAGAGAACCAGAAAAACAAGGCGAGACGGTCCTAAATGAAATATTTACACAACTCTCAAACGAAGAGAAAAAAAATACAGGGGACAGGGCCAGATAGAAAAGACCCAACCCAGTAGTAACTGCACTTACTTTGGGAGTTCTTTGTCTTGAGGGGATTCCATCAAGGACAGCAATAGCATCTTTGTCCTGTTTCAACATTGTGTAGCATTCAGCCATTCGGTACTTCACTTCAATCTCAGACGGAAGACACTGAAAGGCAACCAGACCATCTCCTCAAAGCACAGTCTAAACAGCCTGGCCCTTCCAGAAGGGTAAATCCAGAGTGACCACGGAACCCAGCAATCCCGCCTCTAGGCGCGTACGGGTGAGCTGAAAACCCATGTCTGGCTTCGTAAAAACTTGTAAACAAGCAGCCTTGCTCATGAGAGCCAAAAAATGGAAAGAATTCAAATGCCCAAAGAGGAATGCTCAACAAATGTGGTCCCTCCACACAGTGGACTCCTCCTTAACTGTAAAGAATGGAGGACTGATGCATAGGACAACATGGATAAACCTGGAAAATGTGACGCTGGAAGAAGCCAGACCACTGCATTTACGTGAACTATACAACTGAACTAGACCCTTCTGACGGGCACTATTCGTCCTCAGTGTCAGTACTATAACCAGTGGTGCAATGAGCAGGTCTGGTCAGATGTCCTGGACACCTTGTAGGACTCTTATTATCAAAGCCTGAGCTCTGCTGGCATAGTTAAGGCTGTGGCTTGGGCAGTTCAAATCCACCATCTGCTCTGTGAAAGACAGACGGGTAGCCTTGTTAAAATTCACAGCTTTGGAAAGCTGATGGAGGGGTGCTATGAGCAACCAACTTTACAGCTGCTGAGGGTCAAGTCCCTTTTGAGTCTCAAACTCAGTGAGGTTATGCATCTTCTCCCTATAAAACTAGGATTTATCAAAACAATCCAAACTACCAGGAACTCTTATTTCCCATAAATGTTCCCAGTATCCAGTCCTAACCATTTTCCAATAAAAGTGTACACACTTCATGTTCTGAGTTGTTTGCATAAAAGGGAGGAACTGACAAGAGCCCAGTCTGTGGGTGTTTCACTGCATTTTCTTTTTTTTTATTAATACAGAGATTTTGGATTTCCATTCATTCACTGTTGCACTTTTCTCCCCGCCCACCCCTCCCCTCCAGTTCACTTCTCTCTTTGAAAAGAAAAATTCCTTCATTGATAAACAATCCCCCTATCCCCTTCACACCCCTCTCCCTGCCCTAAGTACACTTCATTATGCAACCTTCATTCTGGACTCTTGTGATAATCATAATACCCAATCATATATCGCCTTTAGTCTGTTCTCTCCCTCATGTTTCAATATAGCATACATAATTTATCCAGTTTTTCTCAGTCTTACCCCAACCCTGATGTCAGTCACATTTTACAACAGTGGCATCATGCAGTATTTGTCCCTTTGTAACTGAGATATTCACTCAGCATAATGTCCTCCAGGGTCACCCATTTTGAATAATACTGCATGAGTTCCTTGTTTTTCAATGTGGCGCAGTATTCCATTGTGTGAATATACCACAGTTTCTCTATTCATTCATTTGTTGATGGGCACTTAGGTTGTTTCCAACTCTGCTATTGTGAACAAAGCTGTGATAAACATGTGTGTGCATATATCTGATTGGATGTCAGTTATGGTTTCTTTGGGGTATATTCCCAGTAGTGGAATTGCTGGGTCAAATGGTATCTCTATTTGCAACTTTTTGAGAAAGCGCCATACCGCTTCCCACAACAGTTGCACCATTTTACATTCCCACCAACAGTGAATAAGGGTTCCGGTTTCTCTACAACCTCGCCAGTATTTGTTTGCTGTTTGTTAAATTTTGCTATTCTGACTGGGTGAGATGATACCTCACAGTTGTTTTGTCACTACATTTTCCGAGTCCTATAGAGAGAACACTGCTCTTAGACCTAAATGCATGGTTAACACAATCAAAACACACAAGCATTTAAAAACCGTTTTTAATCTTCCTTTCTCCAGTCAGCCCCTCCTGAAAATTCATTTTAAACATATTAACATCTAATTCTTTCAGTCTCTCTCTCTCAAAACCGCCAAGCCCCGAAGGTCCCGCCTTGCAGCTCCATTACCTGACTCTGAGGCGTAGAGGCTGAACTCCCCGTGGAAGGCCTCACCTTGGAGGTCTTACTCAGCGCCTTCTTCTGTTGTAGAGCCATGCTGTACTTACTCACGGCATTCCGATATTCCTTATCGTGGAAGAGAGAGTCTGCGTGATACACCAAAAGCTGGTACTTCTGAGATGGGGAGAAGAGCTCCCTGGAAGAGAAACAAAGGACATCCCCGGCATGGGTTATTCCAACTTTTGAGAACACCTTACTGTCCACATAAGCCTAACACCAAACTTTGTACAATCAGTTTATGAAAAGGTCGGATGTATCTTCAATGGCCAGGCATGAGCAGCACAGCCCCGCTGACAGTCAACCCACTTAGAGCACTGTCGTGACCTGCTCTGTTTTAATACGCTGTTGTTATGTGTGTCGAGTCACCTGCAACTCACAGTGACCCTATTTACAAGAGCCCTAAACCCTCCTCTATCCTGTGCCAAACTTACTGTCTCCGACACACTCCCCATTACCCCAGCCACTGAATCAATCCATCTCATCGAGGGTCTTCCTTCCCTGCGCTGTCCCTCCACCCTCCCAAGCATGACATCCATTTTCAAGGACCAGTCTCTCCTTGGAATATGTCCAAAGTATGTCAGACGAAGCTTCAGAATCCTTGCCTCCAAGGAGCAGCCTGGTTTAACCCTCTCCAGGATGAACCTGTTTGTCTTCTTAGCAGTCCATGGTACATTCAATACTCTTCTCCAGCACCACAGCTCAAAGGCATCAATTCTCCTTCTGTCATTCCTAGTTATTGTCCAACTCTCTGATGCATAACAAGTGATTGCAAAGACCATGGCCTATATCAGGCGCACCTTAGTCTCCAGACTGACACATTGCTCTTCAGTATTTTGGAGAAGTCTCTGACAGCAGGCTTTCCCAACGTATTATGTCTTTTTATTTCCTGGCTACTGGTGCCAAGAGTGTTGATGGTGGAGCCAAGCAAACTAAAGCTTTTCACAATCTCAATCTCTTCTCCATCCATTATGAAGCCGCCAACTGGCCCAGTGGTGAGAATCTTTGTTTTCTTGAAACTGAACTTCAATCAATATTGAAGGCAGCAGTCCTTGACCTTCTGCAGCAATCTGAAAATGTTTTAATATACTTTCCTTTTACCTGTTATAAAATGCAAACTTAAAATTCAAATACCAAGAATATATAGGGAAATCTGCTGTCAGGACCTCGCTAAAGAGCAATGATGCCAGTCAAGAGACTAAGGTGTGCCTGATTCTGGCCATGGTCTTGGCACTCTGCATCAGAATGCTGGACAATGACTAAGGATGACAGAAGAATAATCGATGCCTTTGAGTTGTGGTGCTGCAGAAGAATATTGAACATACCATGGCCTGCCAAGAGAACAGGTCTGTACTGGAAAGAGTGAAACCAAGCTGCTCCTTCGAGGCTAGGATTCTGAAGTGCCGTATCACATACTTAGGGCATAGTAGCAGGAGGGACTAGTCCTTGGAGAGGGACATTATGCTTGTAAGTGTGGAGGGACAGCGCAGGAGAGGAAGACCCCAGATGAAATGGATTGATTCAGTAACTGGGGTGACGCAGGTAGGTATGTCACAGACAGTGAGACTGGCTCAAGATAGGGTGGGGTATGAGTCTCAGGCAACTTGAAGGCACATAACAACAAAAAGGATAAATGGAATAAGCCTTTCTCTCTTTTCTTTAATAAACCTTAAGTCTGAAGCATATCTGTCCATACACTTGGACGCAAACACCCAATCTCAGAATTACACTATCATAGAGGGCTGGAGAGACTGACAGAGAGAAACCTCACCCCTTCAAATCCTTTTTAAGAAAAAGCTGAACCAAAGAGGTTTCATGAGGACTTGAATCGTCAAAATCATAACAAAACGTCATTTAGAAAAAAGATTAGTCTTATTTAATATCTAGTTTCTTTTTAAGTGCAAATGTAAACTTTATTAGCATTAGAACGCTTATTAAGAGTTAACACAGGTTTGATAAGTAGAAACTGTAATTGCTTAAAATGAAAGAAAAGGGTCAAAGAACTCTATCAGACAATGAATTTCTCAACAAATGGTGACTGACATTACAGACTGGGTTCTCCAGAGATGCAAAACCAAGGAAGCTTTTACATATATACACACACACAGAACGAGTGTATTATTTTTTTTAAAAATGGTTCATGCACTTGTCATGGCTGATAAGTCTCAGGTCTACAGGTCAGACCTCAGGGGAAGAACATTTAGGGAAGCCAGGGAGTTCAAGGCAGGGTTGCCGACCACTGGCTTCAGGAGCTGATGAGTCCAAGTCTGCTGGCTTCAGAACAAGTCTGACACATGGCTGGTTCAAGGTGGAGATGATGAGCCAGATATAGGATCAGACAGAAAGCTCTCTAGCTTTGCCAGGCTACACACATATTCAATGTAGACACATGCCTTTCATCAGAGTAGGCCCATGAGATCACTCCACAACTACCTCACCAATGTCACAGGAATTAGGATTCATCAAGTATAGGTTCTCTCTGCCAGCAAGTAGGAACCAACTCTCCAACAGGTTTTTAGAGGCTGTAAATCACACAAGAAGAGAATGCCCATCTTTCTTCCAAGGTAGATCTGAATCAAATGCCTCTAGGTTGGTAGCACAGCTCCGTACTATGCTGCAAGAAACTCATAAACTATACAAAATGGGTGACCCTGGAGGACGTTATGCTGAGTGAGGTATCTCAGTCACAAAAGGACAAATACTGCGTAGTGCCACTGTTATAAAACAAGACTGACATGGGGGTTGGGGGAAACTAAGAAAAGAGAGGAAAAATTATGTACACCGCATTGAAACAGATGAAAGAAGGAAGTGTTTTGAAAGAATATATGATTAGGTATTACTTGCAGTAGGTATTACAGTCCAGAACAAGATGCAGAGCAAAATGGACTGGGGGAGCGGGGGGAGGACACTGTGCAAGAATGAAAGAATCTTTTTAAAGAGAAAAGCAAACTGGGGATGGGTGTAGGGAGAAAAATGTGCAACAATTAATGAACGGAAATGCAAGTTTTCTGTAAACTTCATTAAATTATCAATAAAATTAAAAACAACAACAGAAAAACACCCCAAACAGAAAGAAGTAGCTGATGATGGCTAAGAACACAAGCACAGAAAGCACTCAAGAACTCCATTAGAGACTCTAACACATATGCCTACTTCTGCAGTGATTTTTCTCTCCTGCAAGACACACAGTTGAAACGGTTTCCTCTGGAGAAGCAGTAGTGGGGCAGGGGGCAGAAGTGAAGGATACAAACTCCTCCACACAGAAGGCACCAGCCTGGGCAACAGTTCTGTCGTTAAGACAGATAACAACAAAAACCAGCACCCTCTCTCTGTGTGTGTCACTGTCCATCACTAAGACTTTTAGAAGAAAACAAAGGCCAGAATTTAAGATGTTGAGAGGTTGCTGGCTCCCTGTTAGCAGCACTGCCCTGAAGAGAAGCTGCCAGTCCATCTTTGGTGGTGCTCAAAAGCAAATGGTTCAAAGAGGCCTATGCGAGCCAAACTGAAGTGCCAGCAAAGGACCAGACTACTTCAAAGTATCCCGTAACATCTCTAAGACACAGTGAGCCAGGCGTACCTGGTGCTAACCCCCGATGGTGGAGATCACGTGCTTTGGCAAATCACCCACAAGTTCTGAAAGGCTCCAGAACAAACACTGATGCTGACAGAGGCCAGGACTCCCTGTCAGCATGAAGTGGATAGTGGCAAGATGATGGGTGCGTCATTCAGTCCAGTGCACACTGGGGGGACACTAGCCAGGCAGCGGTGGCACTGCAGACACTGGAGGCCTTCCTTGAGGACCTGGACAGCCCGGGAGCAGGCCACCAGCTGCAGAGGCACCTCACTGAGTAGAATAGAAGATTCAACCACATGCATGGAAATGGCTTGGTGGCACTGTGGTTTGGCATTTAGCTGCTGTAAAGGCAGTGGCTTGAATCCACCAACAGGCCCATGGAGAAAGGATGAGAAAGACAACTTCCGCGAGGATTTATGGCCTAGGAGACCCATGGGAGTTGCAATGAGAAGCCGCCGGGTGGTGCTGGGTGTCTGTCGGAGAGTGTGAGGACCCAGGACCCACTGGCTCGTCCACCTACTAGAGACTCGCCCGGGAAGGTACTTCACCTTCCTGCGTTTATTTCTTCATTCATTCATTCCTAGGACTCACTCAACACTCAACTGGCACTGGGGGGCTGACTGCATTCCCGCAGGGGATGAGGCGGGCAGGGCAGCTGCTGACCAGAGTGCAGGGGGCTGCCACCAACAATGACCACACACAACTCCCCTGAGTGGTCAGCAGTGATGCAAAAGAAGGGAAGAACTGGGGGTGCAGGGCGGGCACGGACGTGGAAAGGGGCGGCTCACAGAAGCCAGAGCCCGAGGGGACAGCGATGGGGGCCGGGGCGATGATGGGGGGGCCGGGGCGATGATGGGGGGCCCGGGGCAATGGGGACCAGGAAATGAGGGCGATGGGGGCCCGGGCGATGATGGGGGCCAGGACGATGGGGGCCCGGACGATGGGAGCCGGGACGATGATGGGGACCGGGGCGATGATGAAGGACCTGGACAAAGAGCCAGGATGATGGGGGTCGAGCCCGGGACAATGAGAGCCCTGGCGATGGGAGCCCGAGGGGATGGGAGCCGGCTCTGGGGAGCACAAGGGAGTAAGATGCAAGGGAGGGCCTACGAGGCCACGTCCCGGGCTCGGGAACCGGCGGACACTGTCCACCGCCCGCGAGTGCGGGGCACGCCTGTCCCTTGGGGCCCGCGGGGAAAGGACACACC